AACAGATGCAAAAAAGTACTATTTATGAGTACTATTACTACTATTTTAACTCCAGCTCTTCAATTGTTTCTGTTGAACAAAATTCAGCACAAATCTGTATCAAAATCACTACTTTTGAAGCCTTATCAGTCCTCAAAATCTACATGAAATACTTTAAATTTTTACTCTTTAAGTACATTTTTAAACGAGTACTTTAATGCATTTACTTAGATAGTAAATTTGCACAAAGTAACATACAGTATTTTTTGTTTACTGCTGAAATATATATATTATTTTTACTATATTTCTATTTTTTTACTTGTACATATAAATTTATATAATTATGCCTTATTTGACACCAGTCTCTTGCTCTTTCTGCTGCTTATTTAGAATTTATTATTATCATTTCTCTTTGTTGTGTGAGCTCCTGTGTCCAAATCATTTCCCTTGCGGATCAATAAAGTTTGTCTAAGTCTAATTCAAAGTGCTTTACAGAAAAAGAAAAAGAAATACAGACAAAAGATTAAAAATCAGGACAATATTTTAAATAAAATAGAACAGAGAAAAATGTGGAATAGAAACCTTTCAGTCTTTCAGCACGGCTAAACATACTTTTACTTTTACTTGAGTATTTTTTTGCTTCAGTATGTGCACTTTCACTTACAAAACTGTGCCCTTCTTCCACCACTCTTTCTAAATTTCACATTTTTCACATGTTTCTCAGATAGAATGACATTTTTTGGTTTGGTTTTTGGATTGTGGAGTTCCGACCCAGACTTTGAACAACATCAAACCAGACTGCAGGAGGAGTCCAAGGCTGTAAATGAACCTTGAACCGGAGAGCCCCCACAACAGAGCGTCACAAGTGCCATTTCCTCTGCTTTATGCCTTTATGGGGGCTATAGAGACAGTCTGTAGAGATGGTCTGTGCCTCTGCTCTTTGTCTCCTGCATCTGTGGAGCGCGTAAAGATCCACAAGAGCTGCGCACACATGAAAGACCAGATTGTGTTTCTGCGACCAGAGAAAAGCAGCCAGCGTAATGGCCACCAATAAAGCACCAACGCACACTCAAGCACAGGCTCGGCTCATACCTCAAGCACAGGCTCATTCCTCCAACTCTGACTCTTCTGGGATCTCAAACACAGACTCTGTTAACGCTGTTTTAAGTCTAAGACGAGCAAACATGACTGAAATGTATTCAATTTAAACAATACAAGATTTTAACAGAACTGTGATTTTTAATTCCATAAATATGACCAAACTGTGTCCCCACATATGAGGTAAATATGACAGAATCAAATCAAGCTTTTACTGCTAACAATTGTAAAGCTGATTTATTCTTTAAAACAAAACAAAACATGATGTCCTATTGATTTGTTTTATTTTGTGCTTTTTGGTTTTCAAGAAAATATCCAATTGATTTTCTGTTTTAATGTCCTGATAATACAGTGTTAGTCTTTGACCATAAGACTTGTTTTAATTATCCAAACATTGTTTATGAATGTTTACATATTATTGTAGCAATGGGAACATTCTCTATAAACTACAATAAATTACATCTGTTATCATTTGATTGTTTTCATTATTTTACTCTTTTGAAGCACATTGTGAGACACAAGTCCAACAGGTCCAACTGTCACAATGATAACAATGATTTAAAATATATAGTTCAAAATAAAAATGTTCGGAATTTAGAAATGGTTTATCATTTATTATTAAATTAAACTATTATTTAATTTGATATATTGCTGAGTGAAAAGAACATGAGAGTCTTCATTAAGATGAGTACTATTTTACTTGGTAATGCACTTGTATGTATATACAGTATATAAATATATAAATATATAAATATATACTATGTGGGTAAGTGCGGTTCTAAGGCCAGGCTCAGTGTCTGCAGTCTGCTCTTCTGATGCAGTGTGTTGTGTTGAGTGTGTGAGCAGCAGCTCTGCAGAGGCTCTAATCCTGTAATCGAACCAACAGCAGCTGCATTTAGCACAGATCAGTGTGTGAAGGACACAAGAGTACTCCGACTTTTATACACAAGAATACTCTTACAGTAGTACATGACACTAGTACATGACCGTTATACATGAGAATAGTGTGACAGTAGTACATGACTGTAGTACATGACTGTAGTACATGAGAGCAGTATATGAGAATAGTGTGACTGTAGTAAATGACTGTAGTACATGAGAATAGTGTGACAGATATACATGACCGTAGTACATGACCGTAGTACATGAGAATAGTGTGAGTGTAGTACATGAGAATAGTGTGAGTGTAGTACATGAGAATAGTGTGAGTGTAGTACATGAGAATAGTGTGAGTGTAGTACATGAGAATAGTGTGAGTGTAGTACACAAGACTAGTGTGAGAGTTGTAGCGTACAGGAGCTGGATTAGAGGAGTTCCAGAGCATTAGTGCTCTGTGTGGAGACATTAACATGCCATAGTTTTGTATGAGAGCTGAGGGGCGTCTGTGGGCCTGTCAGTGCAGACTTTGGCTCTAATGACACTGGAGCTGGAGTCAGATCACTTCCTGTGGAGCTCACAGTGATACAGGTGTTTGGTGTGGAGGGTGATAATGGCTCCTGCTAAACTCGTGCTCAACAGAAGAACGCTGCAGCTGAAGGTTAATGCCAAAGTCAAACTTTATGAAGACTTCACTCCCCTCTTATTCACTCTGTGTTTTTACTACACTTTTTAGTAACATATAAACCTCCTGACCTGCGTCAGATGCCCTGCAGTGTGACCTCACTGTTTGATTTCAGTTTAGTCTTTGTGTAGTTTTACTCCATGTTTTCTGAAGTGAATATTTCAAGTTGATCATATTTGATCAAAATGACATTTAGAAAAAACAAAGACATATAGCTTCACTGATTCCCTGGAAATCCTGGTCTATTTTTTATCATAGTTAAAAATGCACTACCTCCACCTCTGCTGGAATTGTGAATATTACATTTTTCCTCGAAGGCATCTGATGATTAAATATGAACTTCCCACACCAGCAGGAGGCGCTAAATATGCACAAGAGGCAACAATCACAACCAAGGTCTACGTGAAAGTGTTTTGAGACTGATCCATTGAAATTCAGCTACAGCTCGTCTCCTGTCACGCTGCGCTCCTGCAGTGGAGTCTGTATGATTTTAGTATCGGACAAAGAAATTAAAAACCATCAAATCTCCTTTTGTAGAATTATTCCTGTAGGCCTGTCCACTGCGTCAATTCGCCTAAAACAAAACTCCACGTTTCCTCCTGGAGTCAAAGCTTTAGAATGAGTAAAAAAGAAGAGCATGGCTTTGAACTAAATGTGCAAGATTTTCCATTTTAGTGATACGCAGAAGCTTAGAAGCCTGTGTGTGTGAAAATGAAGTGAGGAGAGGGACTTGAATGGCCTTTGGCTAAATCACGTTTTCGTAGTAAAATATAATTATTAATTTTTTTCTTTTTCAAAGGGACTGTTGCTTAGAGCGATGAGCAACTAAACTAGAATTATTTAGTATAAATATGTAGAGAAGGCTGCACTATATTCTTCAGCCGTTAGCGAACTATGGGCTATAAATATTTTCTCCCATTAAATGAAATGTATTTGCATATTTTTAATACGACGCGAGGACGAGGCGAGAGTCCAGACCAAACACCAAACACACAACTGCATTTTATATGGAATTACTGTTTCATTAGACTATTTATGATTTAATGGTGATTGTTTTATTTATATTTTATTTATTTTTATTGCAGATGAAGGCGTTTTAAGGAGAACCGAATCCGAACAGTTGTTTCTCTTGACCAACAGAACTACTTCATCAACTTTAAACATTAGTTTGAAAACGCCATGAGCTGTATTTAAACCACAGTATGTCACAATTTAGCCCAATAATAATATAAAATAAATAGACGCAGAAAAGCATGTTTTGTTTTGTTTTAGGTTTTATTATTTTTTTATTTATTTTTTTTCTCTTGTGTTTATTCCACTGAAAAAAGTAGAAACAAACACGCGTCCTTTAGTAGTAATAATTACTGTGAGCGGGCTTGCATCTCCACAAACCTGACTCTTATTTGGCCTGGAGGAGGGCCTCTTCCAGTTTGTTTCCATAGAGGTGTTGCACCTTGGGCTATAATATTCCAGCGTATGGCATTAAGCGTATCTGTCTCCACGGAGAATGCTCCGAAGTTTGGTTTCTTTCTATTTGGAATCACGCACAAAGTGACACATTGTAGCTCCATGCAGAAAGTGACACACTGTAGCTTTAATATGTTTGTTTAATGTTTTATCGATTACAAAATGATTATATTTAGAGAAAATTAAAAAACATATTTGTGTTCAAATAAAATATTTACTTCACACTGCTCTTTTGGCGCTTAAATGCCCGTGCGTAATTTGTGCGTAATTGCGCAGTAGGCTTTTCTAAAGGCACGCTGATGATGTGCACGGTTTTTTATCCTAATTATTTTATTGACGGTCATCTCAAGGTTATAGGTTTTATGTAGTAGCAGTGGTGCCCGGTGTGTGCCCAGTGTAAACATGCCCATCTGACAGTGACTGTGATGCGTCCGGCCAAAGTAAAGACGTGTTGTGTGTAATAAAATAAAGTAGTGAGGGTTATAGGTTATGCATGGTCGAGGAATGTCCCCATACACACAGCAGACAGGCGCACACGCACACACTTAACCCACGCTCGTAAACATCTTGGTGCTACTTTTTATTCCGCTTGTAAAATCCTGCTTGACGAGCGGAGTATTAAAATATTTCGCCTACATCCAGACTCATCCGGCAGCAGACAGTAGGCCTACTGTCACTTCTCTGCGCACAAAAGAATCATTTGATTTATTCCCCATACTGGGTAAATACAGTCCAACCATGTGATCCAGCCCACAACCAATAGGCAGCCGAGGAGAGGGTAAGGGCAGGAAAAAAATTACTACCATTTTAGGGGAGGATGTAAGCCACTATAGCAGCCCATCTAAGGTTTTACAGTCGCACTTAAGTGACTTTTTATTGAAATAATAAAATAAACATGTCGCTAACGAATTATTATTCTATGATGGGGCTCCAGAGCGACGAGCCGTACGGAGCACACTTCATCCCGGGAGGTGTGCAGGGCGCGACGGCCAGCTGCTCCAAGCCAGTCCGCGGCGTTGAGGAGGAGGAAAGCCCGGGCTCTCACATTCCGGATTTCTCTCATTTCTCAAACAAACAAACGGGTCTAAACGGTTTCTCTCCGTGGGCGAATACATCCACATCCTCGTCGTCGTCTTCACCGCAGCTGCAGTCTACTATCCCGGGGCTTTTTCATCCACATCCCCTCCTGAGCCACCATCACCCGCAACACGCGTATTATGGCCCACAGTCGCACCCCGAGCACCTCGCCCCTGCTGCGGCGTCCGAGAGTCGGTTTGTCCGCTGTTGGGAGGGGGCTACTCCTGCGCAGGAGTCTGCGTTAACGCAGGCTTTCCCCGCGTGTCTCCCCCCGCAAAACGACCTCTCCAGTCCCACCGTGACGAGCTATGAGGCGGTCAAACCCGAGAGCTCTCCGCCGTCCAACCCGAGCCCCGAGGAGTCCAGCTTTGCCAGTCCGAACGAAGTGGTCCTCGAGCGGCTTGGCACCGCCGAGGAGCTGGGGAGAAAACCTGAGCCCAAGAAGGAGAGCGAGGAGAGGAAAGCCCCGCCGCAGCCGCAGCAGTCTGAGCCCGGTAAGGACCTATCCACAAGTTTACTGTCCTCTCCAATGTTTATTAGACTTTACAAGTGCTAATGCAGGTACGTGTGAGAGCCAGGCAGGACTGAGGAGTGCGGCCTGTGGAAAGAAGGAAGTGTGTGTGACTTTTATTGCCCTATAAATGTCTAGTAAACGACAAAATATAAAACTTTATTGTCCATTAAAATAATTAAATTGTTATTTAGCAATTTGTCACGATAGGAAGTGCACAGGTTGGACTAATGCTACTTTTCTTACATCAGGCTCATGCACAAAACATATTCAGCTTTTTTTTTCTTCTTAAAAATCTGTTTAAGTGCGAGCCATAGTTGTGCCGCACTATAGCAGTGTGTACACACACAGATGGGACGGACAGGGCCAGTGTTCCTCCGACAATAACAATGTTTTTCTGCAGTACAAGTACTCAGTGAAATCTGTATTATTGTTTACTATTGTCGATTTAATTCTTAGATGAAGTGTTGTTGTGATACTGTGTCGTAGACCTTTAGACTGAAATTTAAGGCACGGAATATACATACTTTGCATGAATGAATACATCTATATTCTACATGTATTTCTATTATACGTGTATACTTGAGAACCGTGCAGAGTGTGAGTGCATGACTGGGGCCTCAGTGGTACTTGTTGCTTGTGTATACCATTCCCCTGCACTTTGAAGCTTCGTCACTATTTCTGTGGCCTCTAAAACATGTCATATCCGTCAGTGTACAGTTCTGTAAATGAGATTCAGTTTGGCTGTTTTTCAAACGTGTCTCATGAGTTACTTTGTTATTTATCACTCGTGCTGTCCTTCCAAAAACACTCCTCTTTAAAGATGTACAGAACCAGGATCCTGGAGCATAATTGTACATGATGTCTTATTACGCTACATTATGAAAATGGAGGAAGGACATCAACAAGCTCAAGCCATAACTCTTGTCTGAAGAACTGAGCACTATCTTAATTTATCGAGCGGTGTTTTAGGGTATGGTTTTGTTTCCTAATGAGACCAAAGTTGCAGGCTCATAAAGTCTGTTCCTGGGGCCATTCTGGTCTTTTAATGCCTGTGTTTGAAGTGGTGCAGCTTGCAAACACGCAGATACTGGAGGCGGAGGAGCTATGTACTGGTGTGTGGTTACGCTCAAATGTGTCTGTCTCTTCTTCAGCAGAGAACCCCTCAGCCAGCTGGATCCACGCCAAGTCCACTCGCAAGAAGAGGTGTCCATATACCAAACACCAAACCTTGGAGCTGGAGAAGGAGTTCCTCTACAACATGTACCTGACCAGGGACAGGCGCCTGGAGGTAGCCGGACTCCTAAATCTCACCGAGCGACAGGTGAAAATCTGGTTCCAGAACAGACGCATGAAGATGAAAAAGCTGATGATCCGTGAGAGGAGGAGTATCAACGAATAATGGCGACGCCGCTGGGGGAGAGGAAAGCTGGAGACATTAAAAAAACTGAAGTGCCCCAGACATGTGCACCGTCATTAACATTACCTGCAGTAGTTAAGGTGCTGCCGTGGTGATGGCGATGAGAAAAGTCGGCGGGGGAGGCCAGGGAGAGTTGTAACGCTGTTTTAATCGCGCTTTAGCTTGTGGTCATTTAGAAGAATCAGCAATCAGACTCCACATCACTGTTGAGAAAATTTAGGTAAACATTTACAGCTGAATAGAATTACTTTTCTATCACACAATCACAGTTTAGTCATGCCAGTGAGAGTATTCGATGTGTGGTCGCATGAAAGAGTTTTGTGCAGCTCTTTAGGCGATAATATTCTCTATATAATCATTTAAGAGCAAGTGAACATTTTGCGTTGTTGCCATAGCAGTTAACAATTCAAAACAAAAGATTCTGTCTCTCAAGTGGCAAAAAGTCCCCAAAATGGTGGCTGAAACTAGAATGACACAGGACAGGATAGGATTTGTGTAGGTAAAAAAATCATTAGTGGCTTCCCTATAATATTTTCTACATAATAATTTAGGAACTGAAGCTAGAGAAAGTGAAAATCTACATTGTTGCCTCAAAACAAAACATTATGTCAATCTCTAAAGTGACAAAAAGTCCCCAAAATGGAGCCTAACACTATAATGATATAATGCATAGGTTTTGTGTGTTAAAAATGTCATTAGTGGCTTTAAAAAAAAATGAAACTTTTGCGTAGTTGCCATAGCAGTTAGTAAATCAAAACAAAACATTATATCAATCCGTAAGTGTCAAAAAGTCCCCAAAATAGCATCTAAATTTATAATAACACAGGACAGGATAGGTTTTGCATAGGTAAAAAATTCAATAGTGGCTTTCTTATAATATTTATCTATACATCTATATATTATCTATATAATAATTTAGGAACTGAAACTAGAGCAAGTGAAAATCTGCGTCGTTGCCTCAAAACAAAACATCACTCTCAAATGGCAAAAAGTCCCTAAAATGGCGCCTACAACTTTAATGACACAATGCATAGATTTTGTGTAGGTAAAATAGTCACTAGTGGCTTAAAAAAACTAAAACATTTGCATAGATTCCATTATAGCAGTTAGTAATTCAAAACAAAACATTATATCAACCTCAAATGGCAGAAAGTCCCCAAAATGGCGCCTAAAACTATAATGACACAATGCGTAGGTTTTGCGTAGGTAGAAAATTCATTAGTGGCTTTAAAAGAAGTGAATCTTTTGCGTAAATGCCATTATAGCAGTTACTAATTCAAAACGAAACATTATATCAATCTCTAAAGTGTCACAAAGTGCCCAAGATGGCGACTGAAACTATAGTGACACAGGATAGGATAGGCAAAAAAAATCATTAGTGGCTTCCTTATAATATTTTCTATATAATAATTTAGGAACTGAAGCTAGAGAAAGTGAAAATCTGCATCGTTGCCGTAGCAGTTTGCAGCTCAAAACTATAACTACTAATTTATATCAGTCTCTAAAGTGCGAAAAAGTCCCCAAAATGGCGCCAAGAACTATAAAGACACAATGCATAGGTTTTGTGTGGGCAAAAAATTCCTTAGTGTCTTTAAAAAAAATGAAACATTTGCGTAGATGCCATTTTCACAGTTACTAATTCAAAACAAAAAACTATATCAATCAATTAAAGTGTCAAAAAGTGCCCAAAATGGCGCCTAAAACCATAATGACACAATGCATAAGTTTTGTAAAAAATTTGTTAGTAGCCTCAAAAACATCAACAGTTTTTAATACTACGGGTTGTGTTCAAGGATTTTCTGTAGAATTGTTTATAATATTCTTTATTTAAGAGTTGAAACTATCCTTGGGTTTTAGAGCAAGTGAACATTTTACGTCATTAACTAATCCTAACCCTAACTAAACACTTTTTACCACCAAAATGCCACCTAAAACAAACATTTTTATTTGCATGCGTAACAACTTCAAAAAGATAAAACAGAATAAATAGTTAGGTAATACTTTTTTATCAAACAATCACATCTGTTTTTAATAGAGCTGCATAGTTTAGGTAAGAGGATCTGACCTATACTGAGTTACACCATGAGACAAAGTACACAGAGAAGTCAAATGTGGAGTTTTGGGATGAGTTTGGGTTTGAAAACATGACTATTCACTGGGCTGTGTGCGGGATTTGTGGCTAAATTCTTTATAATATCCTCCGTGTAATACTTTAGGAGCTGAAGCGATCCGTGCGTTCCAGAGTGAAGACAAATTTGCATCGTTGCTGTCGCAGTTAACAATTCAAAAAAGCCAAAAGTACCTAAAGCGATGCCCGAAAACTAAACGCAACAAAAAAACGTTTCTGCGTAGGTCAAATAAATCTATTAGTAGCTTCAAAAAGATGTGATAGCGGCTGGACAGGAAGCAAACAGAGTCACAGAAGAGGAGAATCAAAGTCTCGTCTTGATCCAGCCCCATGTGTTTTGGAGATGGTTGTATATCTAAAGTGAAGTGACTTGACACATACTTGACTTCTCATAAACTGTCTGTGTTTTCTGCCAAAGCATGAATCACGTTTTATGATTAAACTAAAAATAATTTGTCTGTTAAACTGAAACAAGAGCACGGGCAGACCGGATGGAGACGGATTGGCTGTAATTTTTGGAAATTTGTTCAGTTAGTTTCCCTAGTTCTTTAAATTTTACTTTGCTACTATAAGGTAAAGTCTTTATATTATGATTTCTATACCTTAATATCTGTTCTGCTACTTTTGAAAACGATTTAGAAGATGTGAAAATTCCAAAATCAATACCTCTAATTTGAGTTTTGGTAGTAATTTTAGTGCTGATTTTTTTGGCAACTCCAAAATGATCAAAATCGCAATGAGAATCTAACCCAATTAGTCAAACCAAAACTGCAATTTCTTCTGCAAACTCCCCCCAAAATCCGCTTTTATCTGCTCATTCTGCAGTTCAGACCTTTATACAAACATATTCTGACTTTTGTATTAGTTTATCAGGTCTTTTCTCAAATATGAAAGGCTCCTGAAGTCCTTAAAACGCAAACTTTGAACTGAATCGTACTTTCGAAACGCAAATCGAGTATCGAAATTCCAAAATCACGCAGCCCTACCTTGAATTAAAAGTCAGTACTGTAGTTTTGAGGTAAATACTTCAAGATAACTTAACGGCACCAGCAACTCTTTGGTTTTTAACTTTAGTTTTGTATATAGCCACAGTGCACCTACGAGAAGTCATAAAGTTATCTCAAAGGAAACAACCTACTTCCTATCTCCACTTAGTTTTGCCCAGGCTTTCCACACTCACACCGCTCCCATTTTCACAGTTTGTAAGTGCGACGTTGATTAACACGGACACGAAACACTTCCAGAACTGTCTTGTAGTTTCGTCGATACATTTTGCTGCAACAAAGGCCAACACAGCTCTTGAAGAAATCACATGATAAGAAGACAAGAGCCATATTACCATATATCTTGTGTGCTTTACGATGCTGCTGCCTGGAGTGTCTTTATGTGGTACAACTCTCCCCAGCCTCCCCTAAAATATTATTACAAACGTTATTGACATATCCTTCTTCAAAGCAGAATAGGCTTCCTTTATTTGTTTTTATAAAAAGTGCATGTGGCCAAATGGGCGTCTTTGTTTAATTGTTGTTATCGTAGTAGTCAATGTTGCTAATATGTACAGTATATCTGTTGTTACTATGTGGGTCTCATGATATCAACACAACACAAACCAGTCATGGCTAAGCTACAGTGTGACAGCAGACTGATGGTCATTTCTCCTCACGTTTACCTCCTAGACTGTGTAAAAGAAGTGGACAAAGGGAGCGTGGTGTCAAATAACCTCTGGCTCCAGTCAAACGAAGCTCATCAAGGCTTGGAGTTAAGAGTAGGAGTTTATTTACGGACAAGGAATAGCAAAATAAAAACTCCAGGATCATGTAAAGTGGGTTAAACGAACATTTTAAGACCAAAATGACGAGACTCACTGCAATTACAGAAAGAGGAGTGATGTTTTTTTTTATGTAAAGTGAACTGGAGCCAGACCTGATGGAGCCAGAAGCGCGCCCACGCTCACGTCCTGTTGTCTTTTCACATATACAGTCTATGGTTTACCTCTCATTTAGCTCCAGCCGTTGTACCACAGACTCTTGCACAAGTCCTTTTTGTTTCTAGTATTAAAATGAATTGTATGGATAGTGTGAACACGTTAATGATTGTACAAACTGTGGCCATTTTTGTTCATTCTATTGAGGCAGTCACAAGCCACACATTCTCTTTGGGGAAAAAGAAGCTCCCAGGCTATGTTAGCCTACAGGCCTGTGCTGTGTGCCGGGAATCAAGAGGCGCACCCACGGCCTTCATCCGCTCATTTTCAACACAATATGCTGCTCGTGTACATTTTTGTATCAAATAAAACATGGCTGACGTTGGTGAACAAAACCTGGCTTTATTTTATTTTTTTATGGTTTCATTTATACTCTCGATTAAAGATTATGATGTATCCCAATATACTTTAATTCATTAACTATTTCATTTTTATTTTATTTTATCTCCAACATAAAGAAAAGGACAAATGCGCGGATTGGGTAAACGCGTTTTTGGGCACATCAATTCAACATGTCTGTGGTATTAAATTTATAAAGGTAAAAACAAACAAACAAACAAAAATTATTGCTATTGCTATGAAGGGCTGACCAGGCTACCAAAACTACAAATGGCCATGCTAAAAGACAAATCAATAATTGCGCTTTTACGCATCTGGCACCATTACGCATTATCTTATATAAAGTCAGCGTTCATCAAATGTGCAAATTCGTTTTGTGCGTAAAATGTATTAAATGAAACAAAACAGTGGGTTTTGGGCCAGTTATTAGGAGGATAGTGTTATAGTATCCTCGCGCGCTCATGTAGGATACAGCCCCCGCTCAGGGACGCACAGACGCAGGAATGTTCGCCTTGGAGCAGACATGTCTCA